CTGTATTCAAATTAAGGTGTACTATACGTTAAACTGTAAATCCTAGTGTGCCACAGAAAACCAAACAGCTTAAATTTTCTAGTTGACCAATCGAGTTTAACGAACCTTAGGATGTCAATGACCAATTGCTTCATTGATATGTAGATCACAAGTGTATCTTAGGAATTGTCAGCTGGAGGTACCTGGATTTTACTAAGTGGTCGTGTTCTCCTTGAAGCTTAAAGTTAGCACACTAACTGACTTATGTACTGTCATACTTTGGGTGCTAGGAATGTGTAAAGGAACATCTCCTGCGAAACTACCTAGCCCAGTCCTATTGGTAGGCACATCCGTAATACAGGTTATGTTTTTGGCCCAAGTACAATTTACCATGCAATCAACTGGAAAAATAATGATGCAGAACCAGCATCAATCCGTTGACTGAAACTAATCTTTTGTGTACAAAAGGAAGCTTGCAGTTCGCAATGCACTGCCAATGATAGACCTGTGTCTCATTGGTGGTTTAGGAAGGAAACTTTCAACCAATAGGTTACAGGGTCCAAATCGCACTCTATCTACCGAGGTTTGGGCAGCTAGATGGTATCATTAGTTGAGGTATACCTCACTGTCGCCTGCATGAATGTGCACAAGGTCGTTGACTGGATTATTCACATTCCTATCATCCTCAGTTTACTTTATTTTATTCTATCTTACTGATAACAGTTATGCTAATGTAAGAGTAAAACTTGACTACTGAATTACAACAAACTTTTCAATGTCTGTCAAGGTTAGCTTGATAAAATCTCTGAATATTCAGCCTAGGAGTCTAACCAGTATATCAAAAAATCTAAATACCGAAATGAAACACACCACAGAGACACTAATTCCTAATAACTGTCCTCCGGAATTTATTTAAAGGCTTATAAGGACTGATAAGTGAGGGAGTGGTAATGTCAGTGGGGATTGCAACGTGCTGATGATAGAATTCAAATCCTCTATAGTGTTGTCGTGTGAAGAAAACATATCAGAAATTTTACATAGAACTGTTAACAATGCTGGCTGGAATTAGGGTGAGATTTCAACCCACAAACTCACTCAAAGAGAAACGTTGTAGCCTGAAGGATCCGATTGAGGCAATTAAGAAAAATAACTTGATCTACGAGATACCATGTAGTGATTATGAGGTCAAGTGTATAGGTCAGAGCAACTGATCTGGGTCAGTCAGAATAACAGAACACAAAAATTTAGTGAAACATAAAATGATAGACCAGACTAAGATAGATGCGTGATTTGGAGAAAAAACTTGACTATCGCTTAGCATGCACTGAGCCATAACGACAGTATGGTGTGTATAGGATAGGTTGACACTTCTAAAATTCAGTATAGCTAGCTGGGTGGAGGGAGACTTTGATCGAAGAGTCTTTGTACACATGTGACAGAAATGACTCATCGCATATTGTAGATCTATGGCGAATATTACTACCATTAAAATGAGTGAATGAATGAACTGTTGGACTATATAAGAGAAGTTTGAAAGTCGCATGAATATCAGCAACAAAGATTATAGCGCAAACGCCACCTAATGTCATCATTGAGTAACTGTCCTCATGACCATCAAGCTTTGGTGCTCATTGGTGATTAGCTTTGAGAAGTATTCCCGAAGTTCCAATGAGTTGTGACCGGTGAAGCAAAAATTTTGTTGGGAATGTTAGACTGTAAATAATTCTACATCACTGTTTGTCATATGAGATATACAATCTGATTGCTGCCGACACTGATGACGAAGACGGAACAGCTGTCAAAGATGTACGGAACAGGACATTTAGTAGTCTTTTAAGATGTTTACTAACAGTGTAGACTCAAACGCCATAAGAAAACCAAGTCCATACTCCAAATAATTATAGTAATGCTATAGGGTGTAATAAGATTATCAAAATCTTCATAAAAAGCCTTAAATTCCTGAAGATGTTCACAACCAATCGTTTTGCACCGAAGTTTCGACAGAAAGCACGTGAACCAAGTTGTAAATACGAGATTGAGTGAAATAACAAAAATCAATAGAATATATCAATCTAGAAAGGCCTAGAATTAGTCAAAGCCATTGGGAATATGCATGAATCGGTGTTATGGGCTGCATGAAACTGGCCGACAACAATGAATGACCGACGACAAACTAGGTATGACAACTGAAGTTAAAGGCAGGTTAGAAAGAATCGATATTACTAAATCACGTTGGTATAACTACCAGGATAGACTTTTCGTGTACAATGGTTTGGTTTAACAATTATCATCGAGCAGGCTTCTGCATTTCCAGGCATTTTCTTATTCTGTTGTCTACTGTTGATCGTTAACGACCTGAAAGTTGTAGATATCATACCCATAGTCCGTCAGTTGTTTGGTTGTCAAGCACTTCAGGGTTTCCTTTTCTACGAGCTCTGGCAGTCTAGGTAGCTGCTCAGTCATTCTAGTAGACAGATGCTACTTTGTACAATCTATGTTTTGGCTTTAGCAGATACATTCAAATTGCTGCATGCCATCTGAAGGTACTGAGGAACGGAACCATTTATTCCCCATAATTTCTGTCGAGTTTTGCCCATTTCGCATGCTTATTAATAAAGCATTCTGTGTATCCCTTTCTGAGTAAAATATCTTTCACGATCCTTATTTCATAATCGACTGTGCTATTAGAAGAGATTTTTCTAGGTCTTTTAAAGAGTGTTTTATAGTTATCACCATTTATTGATATACTTGTTACTCTCCGTTGTTTTATTGGATCGAATTGTTCGACCTCTATTGATATATGGACTCCTATGAGGATGCCTCGATATTGCCTGAGTGTTAATTATGATAATTTGGTTGGTTGTGGCTAGCAGAAGAATCCAGGACGCGCGTTTTAACCTATGGCTACGAGGTCCGAGTCTCAGTGGGAACAAAATGACTGGGGTGCTAGTACATCCAGCTGACGAGTCCCAAATAGGATGAAACGTGCGTCCTGGAGTCTTCTGCTAGCCACAACCAACCAAAGTGTTTTATAGTCTTTTTAATGGTTAGTAGTGGAATTTAAGACGTTCGTTTTGTCATATTTGAGACTTATCAGTTGGATATACCTCCGCCCCAGTGAGTGATATTGTTCCCACCAAGATTTGAAAGTTAGTTTGTTTGCGAATTCAGCGAAGTTCTCATTTATATACGGTTGGTATAACTTTGCCTGCTGAATGAAGCAAATATATCTGTTTTCCTGTATTACCTTATGATAGTATATATGATCAAGTATATAGATTATATTCGACTGATGAGTTCAAACTCATTACGTCGTTTCTTTATTCATATTTCCCTTTTGTTTTTAACCAATTTATATATATATATATATATATATATATATATATATATCTTGGCATCGTGGTGGTTGCTCTATATCGTGAGCTAACAGAAGTTGGAAACATGGACCACTGAATTCTGACCCATTGGCTCAATGGTAACGTGCTGGCCACGGAACCTGAAGGCAGCGGGTTCGACCCCTGGTGGTGCGGGGTAGTGGGTGCGCACTGCTGGGGAGTCCCACACTAGGACGAAACAGCTGTGTTCCCAGGTTTCCTTTGTTCTTCCAACTGATGTCAGTCTACGATGAATAACAACTTGGAATATTTGCAAATCCCCACAACTCCCTCAAAAATTCAACTGACATTGTAACCTAGCAACTTGTAAACATATTTCGAATGTGGACGATTTGGAGTACACGAAACAAATTCACTTCATACCGTAATCTTTATTGTCCTTACTGTAAATTATTTCTTTCTTTTCTCTTTTGAAAACTAAAACGCCTAGAAGATTTTTGCTTAACCATAGGATAGACAGTGACGTGAATTATACCAGAGAGTAGTTAATTATAGACGTCAATGTAGATAACTAAGCGTAATATACGATTGATTTTAAGCATTGATTCAAATTGTTTATCATGTGTATTTTTATGATAGGAGTGGTTTAAATTTTATATGCGATCGATAGTCACCTTACTTTATTGGTATATCACTCTCTGTAGTAAACGGTAAATGACATCAAGGAGACTGCATAAATTGTTTTACAGTTATTTCTGTCAATCGTATTGATTTTTTTGTGATTTGTTTCTTGGGTTCTTAGTGGAACATAGGACTTCAGTAACACGTCACCATTTCACTCACTTCTCTCCAGTCTCTTCATCCTCACGCCACCACTCCCAACTACCTTTCATTTCTTCCTCACACCATCTCCTCCATGTCACACTCGCCTCCGACGACCAACTCATCGTTCCACATTTCCGTTCCACTCAACAACCTGGTCTGCCACGTGATGTCTCCGAATGGTCTTCCCAGTAAATGCACAATCTAATCCAATCCAATCCAATCGAATTCAATCGAATGCAATCCATCTCCACTTCCTTCTTCTACATATTTGTTGGACGATAGGTCCCTGCTTCCTTGGTTGGTTGGTTGGTTTGTTGGTTGGTTCGTCACCAGTCCAGAGTTGCTTGTTGTTTATTCTTCTCGCCTTCTCATCTGATGTCATCTTGAGTATCGAGTGAGCGTAGGTGGGAGCTGTTCATGTATGTCTGCAGTTGCATGGAAACGCTGTTTCGTAACACGCGAAGTCTGTCAACCATCACATAGTAGTACTGACTGACTAGTGTTTAAAATCCGGATATTGTTCCTGCTTTGTGCTGAGTAGAGTGGAGTGGAGTGCAGTGCAGTGCAGTAGGTCCCCACACTGATTTCAGATCAATGCAGGAAGGCCTGTCTTGCTGTCTTTCCAATCCTGGCTTCGACATCCTTATATGTTCCTGTGCCGCCACCTGCAGTTTAAATGATGCTTCCCATGTAGGTAGGTAGGTGAAAGAGACAACTTTCTTTACATTTCTGCCGTTGATGGTGATTGGTGCTTGTTTTTGCCGTCCTTGTTATTGCTGGTTGGATGTCTTCATCACCCCTGTCTTCTCTACGTTCGTCTGAAGGAAGTCCTGTCTTCACTGCCCTGCCTCTTGTGCCAACTTGTTACTTTTCGCCTTTACATCTTCAAGTTTGTGCGATAAGTCATTAGACATAAATCATCATGGCAGAAATGCAAATGTTGTAGAGTCTTTTCATTGGCCAAACAGAGTATGACCGTCTTGTCGCTCCTCACAGTTTGTTGCATGATTTAGTCGAGTTGACCATAATCAAGAATATGACTGGTGATAGCAGGGAGTCTTGTCTTGCTCTTGTCTTCAATTCAAAGTCCTCATTGAGTTTCCTATTGTGAATTGCTTGACATATGATCGTATTGTTGCTAAGGGAGGAATAAAGTAGGTTCATTAATGTTACATATTACTATTTTCTGACTTACAGTTGATTATTTGATAAAGTTCGATGTATAATTACGTAATGATGACTTACTTTGAACTAATACAAGATTTTAAAACTATCATAAAGCGACTACTTGCTGAAATTGTAGCCCAGTTAGTTCAAGTGTTCGAATTTCAACGAATGAGCCCCATATTCGAATTTCACTTTATTCTGAGCAAATTGGTGATATCTGTCACTTGTCCTCATATACTGATGACAGCTCATATTCCTAGCGAGATAGGTGAGATAGATGACTCATATCAGTCTTTAAACGTAGAAACTGACGAACTGCTTGAAGTAAAGTGTCTACATTATAAAAATTCAACTCGATAAACAGTATTCATAAATTATGCGTTTGATTTAGCATTCCGAAAGCAATTTTATTGAATTTTACTGTATAGAAGTTTAGTATTCCTATATAATGATTGGTTGATAATTGTTTTTGGTACTTTTGAGAATGGTGGATAATGGCTAGCAGCTATAACTATACCTATTATCGGTCGTTGCTCAGTGGGCCAGTGGATAACGCTGTCGCGTCTGAAGCGGTTGGTACTGCGTTCAAGTCCTAGTGGGAACAACATCACTCAATGGGAGGCAAGCTCATCCAGCTGACGAGTTCCACATAGTATAATACGTGTCTCCTGTGTTCGTGTCCTAGATACTATCCAGCACTAAGTAGTTTTCTCATCAAATAAAGAAATCTAACTGGTTATTTTAGTAATGGTTAGGTTGGGTTTTATAGGCTCTCACTTCCATTTATGATAGACATGTGACGCATACATTATTCAATGAGAGGTATATGGGCAAATTATAAAAATTCTTTGCATATATAGCTATATTCTCATTGGTTATTACTGTTCTATGCTACTATGAGTAATGCTGTGGTCTGATTGGTTAACTTTCAAGTACAACTGGGTCTATGCTAATGTGACTACGTTATTGCAAATATAACCATATAATAGCTGAATTCTATTGAATTGTGAACTATGGCGCTAAACTTTTAGGACTGCCTGAAATGTAGGCATTACAGTTTTTTTCTCCCTTCATCATTCTGAATAAGCATGACTGAAGCATTAATTTACTTGTATGAGTCATGTAATAAAAGGGTGAGAAGCGGATGAGTTCACACAGATTCACCTGCCTAGATATGAAACCGTAATGTGGATGAGAAATATTTACCATCTGCATTAAGTGTGAAATATCTAAGGGCCATTTCTTGACTAAGTTGCCTGTGTAAGAGAACTTTCTATCGAGCAGAGAGACAGAATCAACGTCGAGTCTTGAACAAAAGTGCTTTCAATCAATTTGCGACACTACATAATAGCATGTAGAGAACAAGTGGATCGAAAAAACTGATGTCATAGTCGATAAAGGTGTATGAGAGAGGAGAAGGAATTAAGAAAAAGGTTAGTCAAAACATTGGAAATCATCAAACAGTGACCGATTTTCAGTCATGTCACCTAGAGTCCTCAACCACTGATTTCTAGGGTCTCTGGGGCCACAGCCAGGTAGTTTGCAACTCCCTCTACGTCTGAGACCAACGGTCAGGGACTTTATGAACTGGTCCCACGTGTTAGTGTGATCACCCTGAACCCTTTTCTAACCTGATCCAGCTAGACCTATCACCGCACGCCGAGGCAGGCGGTAACTCAGCATTCTCAACATATTTCGAAACCATCTCAGTCGGTGAAGGTTCACAACCTCATCTTGCTCAGTACCCTTCGCCTTACCTCAATATTGCTCGTACAGTGATTCAGCATAACGCAACTAGTGGTGTTAGAGACGACACAAGTTGGCAAATATCAAACGGGCATTTTGTATCCAAGCCGAGATTTCATCAGCAACCAGCCTGTTTGCGCTGATGGTACTCTTCAGGTAAGTGAAGTGGTCGATACATTCCATTACTTCACGCCTTATTCTTCAACTGAACGTGGTTGCCGACCACTCTTGGAGTGTCATCTTACATTTAGAAGCCGTTAAACACTTGGCACATATACTCCGATTTATGCTCAACACGCTCAGAACACCCTGCACCTTGTTAGCGTCTTCACCTAGCAAGGACAATGTCATTTGCATACTTCACGTCAACCAGATGGTCTCCAGAGAGTAAAGCTTCATGTCATTACAAACGGTTATAACATATGATCACTGAACTTCAAACATCCATAAATTTGTTAGGTATCAATGCATCACGTGACTTCTTTGGAAGCATACAGTGAGCAGTCTAAATGTTGATTATAGATTAACTTGGGGGATCGATTGATGAAGTATTGATAATCGATTGACCGTTGTGGTTGAGAAGTTTGCTATCCATCTCTAGTGATACCGTACGCTTACAGGCAATGCAACTAGCTAAGATAGGAGGAGAAACGAAAAAGGGATATGGGCTAATCAGCATATGAATGATTGCTCATGTGGGTTATTTTGATAAATGTATACTCACCATTTCGATTTCATGGGATAGTTGAGTATCCACTCTTGACGTCTTGATGCTTTGGCTCATAACAGCACGTCAACATTAGGTCAGCGTGTTTCAGTCCAGTCGTCCACATTTTCCCACTTCTTTCAAATCATTATATGATGAAACTATATCCAATGTCATCGATCGGCACTGGTTTCGCTTCCGACTTAGATGACTACCACAGGTCACAGCTACTCATTCGAGTGATGACATCCTAACTGCTAGACATCAAAGCTGTGTGTTAGATCTCTGGCTGGAGGGGTTGTGGATACATACTGGTGCACAATAATTTGAGGCCTTCAGTTGTTCTTCAAGTGGTGATAGTCTATGGTGAATACTACCTTCAACTCAGTTAATTCCCACAAACTAATAAACTAAAAATCTCGCCCGGTTAACTAGTTCACTAGTTACTAACCGGTCCTAAGTCCGGATAAGCAGGGAAGGTTTGGCATAGGGCTAGCAACCCTACTCCGTAAAACCAATCCAATCGCTAAACAAACTTCAAGGCACAACGAAATTAAAAAAGATAGAAACAAACTTACTCCTCGCTGGAATTGGAGCGACAAAATGACGCCGGTTGGTAAAAGCCTTCGGGAAGCCAGTCGGCCGATGTGTCTTCTCTCGATGAAAGCGAAAGTAAGGATGGAGATATGGAATGTCAGCACCATGTGTGCCTAGCTATAGCCCAGCTTTTTTCTAAATTTCTTGTCGTGCTGGAATCGACTAATTTTGATTGAGCTCAGATTTTGTGCTCGGACTGCCTAATTGACTGTCGCTGTTTGACTACATTGACCTATGCATTCGACTTCGTAAATCGTTGCAAGGGATTTGGTAAACTAAACTATTCTGCCTAATTGGATCAGTAGGATCTTTTAGTCTACAAAGCGTATTTCTAAGTGAGTTTTTAGGCTTAAATACCACTCTAATCTCGGCCTTTTTGAGAACCGTAAGAAATGTTTCTGAGGTCCTTTCCTTGGATGTCAATAGTGTTTATGTTGAATGGAGATTTTTTTGAATCAATGTTATTCAGCTCACTAAAATAAAATAATGGATTAGTGCAAATAGAATGGGATTGAAGAAAGAGAATAAAACTGTTTTGTTCATTCCCAATCCTGACCAGAGTGATAGTTTGTGGTAGTAATCAAGTAAATGAATCACTCAAGTGGGGCTTTTGCCTGCTTCACAAAATTGTATTTTCCTAATCATCGAAAAATTGAGATGCACTCGGCAAATACTCGGAATAACGTCCAGTTGGCGATGAACCGCGTCTGTTGTGTACGAGCTCGGTGTCCAGGCTTCGGTAAGTGGAGTGGAGTTGGAACCCGTGACCCTCTAGTTAAAAGTCAAGGTTCGAGGCCGCTGACTCTCATTGAAGTTCCTCTAGCCTAAGAGTTAAAGATAATTTAACAACACAGTAGCACATGCGATTATTTCCAAACCAGTTAGCCCACAGTAGAATAACAATAGATTCCAATTAATAGTTCGAGTCCTATCACCATATAGATTTTCATATCACCTTTAATCATCACTCAGTATCAACAACACAATTCTGTCAAACCATAGCCATCTGAGATAGGCAAAGTGGGAAAAAACTTGACAGTGTCCAAAATGAAAATCAACATTTTAGATAGTTGGTTCGCTTGACAATTAAGTTTTTGGGCTTCACAGTTAATCTTACACTATCCTCTTGTTTGGGTTATTCCACTAGACAGTTGGACTAACTAGCTAGCTAAGCTTTTGTCATGGGGTTCAAAATGTAAGCGCAGTCATCGATGTTAAGTTTGATGAACAGCTCTCATAGTTACCGGCTAGGCGGCCTCTTCACATTGGGGTTTTGAGGTCTTGATAGTGATCATAACTCGACATCAAATTTAAGCTAACCCTTACACACATTAGTTACTTATCAGTTCACACAAAATTCAATAACATACAGTTTTACACGACAAAACAATAAATTTCTCATGTAAATAATAACGAACTTTTCCAAGTTTATCGTAATCACTGAAAATTTAATCTCTTCGACTTTGAATACTAAAGTTGTTTGTTTTCATTGAATTAACTACTTTTTTCCCTTGTTTCTGTTAATATAATTAAAAGGCGGTAGTATGAATTGGATTATTGAACAAAAATATTGATTTGTTAATATTACACACAGACATAGATGCACACACATAATATTGATCATAGAAGAGAAGCGCGCAAGCATTACTTGAATGCAATGATATGCAAAGTCATACATTTTTAAAATGTCTACCTATATTTTATGTGATACAATACCTGCTTGTTGTCTCAATCTCTCATACACTTATATTAAAAGATGTTAAAAGGAAATACTTAAGTGGTATTGAAGTACGTGCTACTTAAAAGCTTATATATAAGTAGTAAAAAGCATGATAGCACCAGGAAAAGCAGGTATATTTATCCTCCATCATCAGTAGTATAGGTTCTAAAGGAGAAAACGAGAAACATATGATATAAATAAAGAAGATAAAAGGAGAAGTAATTGAGACAAGAGAATAAAACATCTCAGATGCAGGTATGCACTATTCCATCAGTCGTTAATTGTGTTGTTTCCAACCATTTCGCTATTTATAGTAATGATGGGCAGTGGCTAGCAATGGAATCCACGATTCGCATTTAATCCTATTTGGGACTCACTGGTCAGCTGGATGTACCTGTCTCTCAGTGAGTGGTGTTGTTCCCACCTGAATTCAGATTCGTGAGCGATTGCTTCAAACGTGAGAGCGTTATCCACTACACAACCGAGCCACGATAACCACTTCTTGTGCGACGGGTATAGGTTTAGTGTTATTGCTTGTATTACACTGTCGTTGATTACTATACATAGTTAAAAAGACAGGCAATATCGAGGCATCTGCATAGGAGCCCATATGCCAACAGAGACTAGTCAATTCG